TGCCTTTAATACATTTAAAGTATTTCTAATTTTCCTGCATTATAGTGATGCACAACATATTCTTTTACCAAGAGATAAATATACCTGTGTAAGAACGTGTGTAGAACATAGTTTGCGAGCTTGTTCGGCACGTGCATTTATTAGACATTGTCATGTCATGTTATTCTCCAAAACGATTGCTCCGGTCTTACATGTGGTTCATGAGAGTTACTGTGGATTTCTCCTCTTGTGACTTGCTAATTTGTTGTCCATTTGTATTTTGGGCCGATTGCGAGACATCTTTATAGATCCTAGCTGCTAATACCCTGTTAATTTTATATGTTGTAACCTCTCCTGGTGTGTAGCTCGTCTTCTCACGTAATGGATAGAAGATTTGGATTTTAATGTGGTCCAATTCAAAGGAGAATGACTTAATGATACTAGGGAGGAAAGTGTATATAGGTAAAGGTGCCAACTCATGAAAAGAAAGATCTCCATGCTTCACATCTTACTGCTGAAGTCTAGCAAGAGTGAGGACGGGCAGGGGCGAGCGGGGTCTCCATAGCCTTGTTCACTCTGTGCTGCTTAAGGAGAAAGTTGGAGCTTTAAATTCAGTCAGTCATTCAGGAAACATTTGTTGTGGGTACTGTGCTGGGCCTCACTTCTCTCTTTCCCATTGACAATTTTCATTTAAATTACGTGGCTTTACCCTTGGAACTTACTCGTCTTCCCACCCTTTGGCTAGAGTTGCCCAGGAAGCCCATTCTAGCACAGTGATCATGATGGATGATGGAGAAGATTTATTTACCAGGCCAGGCATCCCCTCCCGCTCCCCCTCTCCTTCTCCTCTCTTTCTTTTCTTTTTCATAATCACTTGTAGATTAGCCCTAGTCAACAAGTGAGTCCTGTAAAACAGTGAAGTAATGGACCAAATTAACATCTTGAATTGAGGTTGGTACCCCTTAGCACATATAACCGAAGGTAACTCTTCAGTGGACGTGGACTGAGTTAGCACGCCTTGTTCATCTCTGTGTGCTCGGTGCCCCGCACATTGCTTGGCACACGCATGGAGAAGATTTATTTACCAGGCCAGGCATCCCCTTCCGCACGCCTTGTTCATCTCTGTGTGCTCGGCGCCCCGCACATTGCTTGGCACACAATAGCTGCCATTTACACGTTTTGTGAACATGTAGATGAAGTCTGCCAGTTGCTTCCTTTAAACACACGTAAGCACACATGCCCACGTGCATTCCTGTAGCTGGAGCCTCAGCGTCCCGAGTTGCCGTACCGTTTGTTGGAAGTAGTACCTGATTAGTCCCGTCATTCTGCCTTTTCTCCACTTGCTCTTTAGTCTGCTGCGAATTGGAAGAAAGGCTGTTTGGAAGCAGATACTGAATCGCTTTTGTTCTTAATGAATTGCTTTTGTTCTTAATGGAGCTTATCATATCGCAGCCAGCTTGATCTATGCATGGCCATGATGTTGGTCAGATTTTCAGAGGGAGGAAGTGTTTTCTAGTATCAAGACCAGAAGATATTAAATCTGAAATCTCAGCTCTGTTTTCTTCAGTAGTCAGGCAATTAAAATTTTATATGTATATTTTTTAAGCTGAAAATTAGATATGACATCTCCATGTCCCTCCTTGATATGGTAATGCATTTAAATGATAACGCTCAATCTCTTGAGAGAAGAATTTTACTGTTAGTATAAACATATATGTTGCACATTCATCAGACAAAAATTATTTTTGTTATTGAGGTCTGCTTTCTCTTGGCCTTTTGGGGATTTGATGAGTTCTCAGTGTTTATTATAATTACAGGTTACTGATTTTTAAAGACAGGTTTTATGAGTCCTGTATTTTCTATTTGATTAAACATTGATTACATTTGCAAATGTAGATATTCAAAATTACCTGTTTTGTTTCTATTTAGAGGAGTTTTTCTTGACAAATTGACTTTTGCAAAACGTTTTCTTTAAGAAAAATTGGAAGCGCGTTCATAGAGTAGTGTACTGACGCCGTTGTCTCCGTCATTAGTTGACGATCAGCTGACGGCCAGTCTGGCGTCATCCGTGTCCCTAGTCGTTCCTCCACCGACCTTCTCGATTATTTTGAAGTAGATCCTGGAAAGCATATTATTTCTTTAAGTATTTCAGTTTTATTTCTAAATGATAAGGACTCTAAAAATAAACACAAACATGATACTGTTATCATAGCAAAGGTCATTAACAATAATTTGTTAATATCATCAAACATCCAGACAGTGTTCTTTTTTAATTCATTGATCTACTCTGTTTTCTCTCTCTCTTTTGCTGGGAGGGAGAGGATGGGAGAGAGGGAGACTTCTGAAGACCAGGTCATTTATTCTGTAGTTTCTTACTGTCTAGATTTCCCATTGTTTAGATTATAGTGTTGTTTATTAAAATATTCTTCTTTTGTCAACTGTATTTTCTTCGAATTGGTAGTTAGATTCACAGGAATAATGTGATTTTATCTGCTCTGGGTATACCTTTTTTGGGGGGGAAATTATTTTAGTGTAAAAGTATCATTTGAACAGAATGGTTGTTCTAGGCAAGTAATACTCATACTACTAGCTTGACTTTGGACCCGAATCTCTTTTGCCCTGGTGAATAGGGTTAATCAGCTGTTAGCTCTGAGGGTTGACCAAGGGTAGAAACAGCCCTGTGGGTTGCTTCAGGCCGTCTTCTCAAAATTTATTGCTTCCAATTTGCTGTGATGTAAACTTGTTAGAGCCATCTGTAAAAGCAATAGGAAGAAGGCTTTGAGTGACGGCTCAGTTTGTGCGGCTGTGAATAAAGCTCATTTATATTTATGAATTTTGAGATTTTGAGTGGGGCTGAGTCTGTGGTTATACCTAGAAGGATTTTATGCAGTTTTGCATGTTTTATATCTGAGAATATATGGTAGAGATGAGTTTCTTTTTTCTTTTCAACTGGTCTCTGTTAGCTTAGCTCAGAAATAGGTGATAGAGCATGTTCCAGTAAGAAGAGAGCATCTGGGGGCAGTGGAGGCCGCCAGAGCGTCTGAGGTCCAGGGCTGGGAAGAAGCGAGGTGTGTAGTAGTTGGACATGTTTTCTCTGACAGATTGCTGCAAACTTCGTGGCTTAAAACAAGGTTAATATCCTACTGTTGGAGAGGAGAGAAGTCCGAAGAGGGGCCTGCCTTCCCTTTTGCTTTTAAGGACCCTGTGGTTATGTTGGGCTATCCACATAATCCAGGGTCGTCTCCCTGCCTTAAGGTCACGTGTTAGGCATCTTAAATCTCTGTAACGTGACATGTTCCTAGGTTCCAGGACCAGGGCACGGACATCTTTCGGGGGCCATTATTTTGCCCATCTCACAAGCCGAGTAGAATTGAGAGGACAGGAGTTGCTTCCTGCAATGATATAACTTTTTTTTTTTACTTCCCTTGAGTTTACACTTCCACTGGTCTTGAAGACGCAGTATTGAGAGCTCATGGTGTTACGTCATGAGGTACTTATATTTATAATGACATAACTCTAAAAGTTAACGTTGGTTAACATAACCATTTAACAGTCAGTCTTTTGCTATGCCAACTCTAAGGAACTTTATGAAGTGTTTTCTTTCACCTTTCAATTTTTGTGAAGAAACTAAAATTGTTTAAGTTTTGGTTTTTCTCTGAGCATGGCCTGGAAAAAGGTAAATAATTAGTACGATGACGCTCATCCTCTTTTTGACAAAATGGGAGGCTAGTGATGACAGATATTGTGTATGTTGTGATGACAGATACTGCTTATGTTTTGATGTAAAGTGAGCTCGATACTGTTTTGTCATCTGGGACAGTGGTGGATCGCGCCGGGAGCATAAAGTGGACCTGACCCCAGAAACCTCTGTTTTAAGTCTTTTTCTGGCTCTTGGGCAGCAGGGGTTTCCTAAGCATAACGGGGAGGACTTTTTAAAAAACAGAGACTTGGCGAAGTCTGTGGCTTCTCCCTGCTGTTCCTGTTGCCGTTAGGGACAGCCGCCGTTCACTAGGAATTGTCACACTCCCTCTAACGTATCGAAACTTTCACTGTCACACTGTTTTCTTTTCTAGACAGATAATTATGTTATCTGTTATACAGTTCCCTGCCAGGTTTACTGACATAACTTAAAACATCATGACTGTTTGTGGTGACCGTAGTTAATAAAACTATATTTTTTTTGAAAATTACTAAGAGAGTAGATCTTAAGAGTTCTCATCACAAGAAAAAAAATTTGTAACTCTGGTGACGGATGTTAACTACATTCACTGTGATCATTTCACAAATATACAAACCAATTTTGAATCAGTAGGTTGTCCACCTGAAACTAGTACAATGTCCTGTGCCATTATACCTCAATAAAAAAATCGTGACCGTTTGGGCTCCCTTATTAAGCAGCTTAATCTATATAGTGGCCGTATAGTCTTTTAATTGTTAGCACATGGTAGGCTCTTCTCCCTGTTGGTAATTGGTCTCTAACTGCTAACGAAGTGTGACAAACAGAAAAGTGAGCCAGTCATAAGGGACAGCTAGACTCCTAAACAGTCTTGTCCCAGAATAGTTATTACTGTGCAGCTCTGTCCCGTCTGCAGCAGCCCCAGCTGTCATTTCTTTCTGACATCTGTAGTTGCGCCCTGGTTGTATCCGATGCATCGCTGTAATGAATACATATGTACCTGGTGAGATACACGTCTGTTTATTAAAGTTTATTGGTGTTGATAAAGTTTCTTTGATATTCAGTGGCCAACCTTTAAGACATTTTTTCTCTTTTCTAAATTCCCATCTGGGTTTCAGGTGCTTGAACGTTTAAGACTTACCTCTGCTTAAGTGAAGGTGAAATTATAATTGAAAAAAATTTTATTTTTTGTTGTTTCTTCTAAAATTTTTACCTTCTAGGTTTAGAATATAATAAATCTACATTAGTTTTCCTTGTGAAGGTAATTATTTCTGCTCTCTTTGTTTTGATGTTGTCTTGTTCATATTAGCAATTTATCAATTCTTTTTTTTTCTCTCCTTTTTAGACTTTTACTGGTTGGTGGATGTGAAACGGCTGGAGTGGGCATATCAAAAGCTTCCAGCTGTGGCCTTTCTGCCTGGCGAGTTCTTTCAGGGTCACCTTATTACAAGCAGGTTACTAATGGTGGAGACACGGTCACTGCAGTAAGTATTATTTGTGGCATTTCACTTTGCTGACAGATCTTAGCAGATGAGATCTGTGTGAGTTTCAGAGGAGGAAATAATTTGTCTTGAATGAGGAAAGTGATTTAATGCTAGTGAAATGTTAGTATTTCTTTCAAATATCAAATTTATCTGAAACATATTGTATTTAACTTGGTCTCATTATTAGAAAAACAAACAACCTAACAACAGTCCTGTTACTTGCATTTGCTTACTTAGACATTAACATTTATTAAGCACTTTTTCGTGCTGGCAGCTGTTCTGAGCGCTGTTAGCTTTATGAGCACATTCGATGCTCAGTAACCCTTTCAGCTGGGTATCGTTACTCACCCCAGTCTATGAGGAAAGTGAAGTGTGGGTCACCCAGCTCACAAGCTGCAGAGTTAGAGTTCGAACTCTGGCAGAAGTTCCCCTGTTCTTAGCGACCATGCTGCACTTCCTCCCACTTTGTTTCATTTGTATACAGACTGTTCATCCAACCATCTATTCGTCCGTTCTAAATTTAAGGCTCTGTTTTGTGTCAGGCGCTCCTTTATGCTGTAATAGTCAGCATAGGCTAGGCATGATGTGCTAAAAACAGTCATATAAGCAAAATGGAAAATCTAACATTTCTGTGGGTTACAATTTAAAATGTGCTCCTTATTTGTGGCAGAGCCTGCTGTTGGTACCGCGACTCCCCCGGGTAGCTGGTTCCAGGTGATGGTTAAAGGACCTGTGGGGCTGGCCTTCTGTGGTCCCACTGTCTCTGATTATGGCTTTAGGAGGGGAAGGGAGGGCTGAAAGGTAGAACTTTTTTTTACTGTTTTAAACCACAACTGCTATCACTTCTGCTCACAGTTCATTTATAGTTAACTAATCATGTGGCCCCACTTACCTTCAAGGGGCCTGCAAGCAGTTTTCTGTGTGTCCAGAAAGGCAAGAAAAACTAGGTATTAGTGAACAATAATTGTCTACCATGTTGGCCACCCGGTGATGTTGTACATCTTGGTTATTTGTGTAAACTGCGTGAAAGCAAACACTTGATCAAAATTACACACCCTGTACTTAGCACATTGCCTGATGTGTGGTGGGTGCCCAGGTATTTTTTGAGTGAGGGAAGAAACCAACAGATTAAAGTGAAACACGACATAAGTGAGTGTGTTATGCTGTTTCTTCCTGTAATGACTGTATTTGTCCCATTATTTTCTGTCTTAAAATATATTGATTTCAAAATAATCCTCTAAAACCAAGAATGGTTAAAGGTTTTGTGTTGAAAACAAACTGATGAAGAAGTACTTTTGAAAAGAAATCTTTAGCAATTACAGTAAGCTTTCATTAATTTTTACTTTAGGTTTTAGCATATACTGAAATATGTAACTGAATTTAACCCAACAAAGTGGTAGTTTATTTATTTATTTTTATTTTTTTATTAAGTTGACTTACTGGTTTATCTAGCACCAGACTTTAAACCAGTTTCTATTTGTAGACCAGTTTATATAATAGTGTTGTGCTTTGAGCTTTTCCTTCCACTCTATCCATCTTTTCATTCTTGCACCCATTAATTCTCTCTGTAGGATCCAGTGACGAGTCCAGTTTGACTGGTATTAGGGACATTTCACAGATAAGGAGCCTGAGGCCCTGTGAGATCCTACAAACAAAAACAGGGGAACAGGTGTGGAACCAGATCCTCTAGTTCTGGTTTAATACTGTCCCCCAGTCCCCATAAGAAATTATATACATACAGGTGGCATTGTCATATTTATGCTATGATGATTATCCCAT